CTTCCTGACTTGTTTAATGTTCATAATAATATAGAAACGCTGGTTCTCGATATGATTTTGTAGATATTATGTTATATTGTATTGATTGTATAATAAGATCATRATAAGTGATAACAGTATATTGTTTATAATTTTTTTAATGCGTAAATAGTAAAAATAAATAAATTTTATTTAGGTATTTATTGTTTATTAAGTTTATTAATTTCATATTTATTTAATTTTATAGGTGAAATAAYGCAAATAATTKTACCCTCCAATAAATTACAGGTTAATAAWAAAAGGTCATTTAATTTTGGAAAATTCGCCCCCCCCCTTGGGTGACCTCTGGATCTGCTACTGATCAAATCTACGACAAATGACCATCGACAATATCGTTAAAATATGAATTCCGGAGATTTTTAATACTTGTTTTTATATAGGTATAATAAAATAAATTAATAACAAATATACGTTTACCAATATCATTTCGTCCGATTTTCAAACGTATCTGTGAGGGGGAAAGTGATTCTAGGGAGAACTGAGCGCTCAATAGCTCTAAACCTTTGTTATATTATTTTATATAATATTTTATAATATTATGTGCTGTGTTTACTACAGAAAACCTTCTATTGATCCAACGTTTATTTTAGTTTGGAAAATGGTTTGGTAATATTTTTTTATCGTCTTATAGGAGAATATTGTCATTACAAACAGTCACATATTATATAAGTTTCTTATATTCTTATATACCATAAAGACTATAATATATGATTTACCTGGAATACAAAGCAAAAAATGTCCGCAGTTGTAACTCTAGTATATAGTTGTATATACTATATAGGTACAGTGTATATTATATCCAACGTTTATGCATAATGATATATATCATATAYGATGAGCGTACAACTGCAGCACGATGCACCCACCCGACAAACCTAACTTCTACCTACATATTATGATATATAATAACATACCAATTATTGTATGTAAGTTTTAGTTCAATAACTTTTTTCGACTTTTCTACTCTATTATTTAAGTATAATATATGTATGAAATTCTAAGGTTTTAATAAGGTTAGAAAATTGTATRCATTTTTATTTTTAATCGTGAGAGAATATAATGTAGGTATACGTTATCCATTGCAATACTATTCCCAACATAGCGCAAAAATTGACAAAAATATAATAATTATAATAATAGGTAACGAAATATATTGAGCAAAAAATCTTAAAAACCGTTGTTGATTTTGTACATATAACTAGTTAAGTTAGGCAGGCATTACGTTAATTTCATAATATTTTGTTGAGACAATTAGATCCTTTAGGTTTATATTATGTTTTTTAYGAAACTGAAACTTAGCAACTACAATACYTAATTATATGCTATACCTRATATATTTTACACACATACAGATTTGGCCTTTATGTATAATATTTATTATATATTATATTATTTATTAAAATAATCGAAATGGGTCCCTGTATAATTTATGGGAAATAAGGGACAGTGGGCCACGTACATAAATTTGCATATACAAATAAAGTCTCCGAGGCAATATTTGCTTACCTACCGTAAATATCTTCGAAAAGTTATTATATAATATTGTAAATATATTATATAGTTTTAAAATTTATATTATTATTTATTTGTTTCGTGTAATGCCATTTGGATACATTATTGTATAAATGATTTARAGTAAAATAATGTCCTCGATGAGTATAATAATATTATAATAGGCAATATACCTATGTTTAACTGTAAGATGTATTTATTTTTCTATGTTAAAATATCAGTTGTCATGGAAAAATAAATTTAAATAATATTGTTTGGTGACGAAAAACACAAAATAGGTTATTATGTTTAAAAATTTCATTGATCAAGCAACAATTTTAACAACTGCGGARTATTAGTGAGAAAACAAATATTAGAAGAAAAAATACGTATTTAAAAAAAATAAAAATATAGAGTTTTACCTATAAAATAATTGATTTTCGGACGGATAGTACTTTATTTTATACTTTTAAATTGATTGAATGATAAATATTTACGGTATGAATAAAATGCATAACCAATTGATAATTTTACATTTGTAAATATACAAATATATATATATATATATAAGTATATACAATAGGGTTTTTTTCCGAAACGAGTTTTGCATAAAAAACGATCTAGTGACGTGTTAGTCATGTAGGAACACCAAAAAATATATTATATACATGCGTATTACATCACGTAGTTGGACCAACAAAAATATTTTAATAGTCAAAGATCAAAGCGTATATATAATTATAATATCTGCATCGGTGGCTACAGCAGCGATTAACAGCTATTATCGTTAGTTAGGTGTAGAACAGCTAAACAAATTAAAATAATAAAAATATATTGAGAGAACGTAAATATTATAAAATATAATTACACGATAACAGGGCAAAAAATTCGAAATAATTTTAGGTTCCTACAATTATTATTATACGCTACAAAACTRTACATCGTCGTCTTATTCTATGTCGTTATTGTTGCAGTGACGTATTTACGAAGGGCTGGGTTGTTTACAATATATGTATATAAGATATTATGTATATTATGTTATCAATTATTACATATTTACATATAAGTATTTATTATTTATTATTTTATAAATAAATAAATGTATTATTCCATCAATGTTTTTTTTTAAAACGGCAGGTATTTTAAAATTTAAAAAAGTGCCTATATGTATATACATACATATTATATAATAAAGCTTTTTAATTTTAGCTGTATATGGTGACAAAATATAATATGATATTATTTTTACTTATTATAAGTTAGAATATTCATGTATACAATTATTGATTATTTTCAATCATGTATAAAACATATATTATGAATAAAACATTTTGAGAATTTAATTTGATTATGTATGTATTTGTTATTATTAGTTTTCAATTAAATTAATAATGTTGCATAATTATTATAGGTAGGTACGAAATTTCTCTATTGATATTTGRTTTATTTTTGATAAATGTGTTGATTAATATCAACAACTTTTATTCTCCCATGAACATGCATTGCTACCAATTAAGGTGTTCCATTTAAGCAATATATTATTACTATTTAATATTATATATATTTATACTATGGCCGAACTGTAACGGAATTTATAGATGAAAAAATGCTGTTAAACTTTCAAATAATACAATAATAATAATAATAATAATATCCTTTTTAAGTAACTAATTATATATTGGTTAAACATTTTATATTTATATACATATATTCCTATACAAAAATGTAGTGACGCGAGATGTAGTTTAAAATTGTTATGTTAAAAAATAAATTTTAATAAACTAAGATTACAATAAAAGTTAGACAGGAAATAATAGCGTCTTGCACAATGTACGCATGCTGTAGGTCATTATTGTAATCGCTTAATCATGGGACGGTTTTCTTATAACGTACCCTGAACGTAATCAAAAAGACTAAACCTATACAATTAAAATAAAATAAAATAWATAAAATAGTTGGCAAGTTGGCTGCATAATACACACTACATGCAATTATCAGATATTATTCGTAATTAGACTTACTGCACGTGCTAATATAAAATTATAATATTTATATGGTGATGTGCAAAAGTAGGTTACGAATTTGCTGATCCTATGCAAATCATAATTATCTCGCAGGCATATGTGCCTTATATAGGTTAAACATATAGGTGTATAAATACTGAGTGTCTATCGTCTTGATCCCATACTTTCAACAATATTAATATACTTTGAATACGAAAGCAATTAACAAAAAAAAAAGTCATTGTGAAATTGGTGCTGCACTGCTGCTGTTTCAAAAACGTGTACAGGAGAGCCGTTTAGTAATCGAAAATCGATCGACATCCGTTTATAGAGCACCGTTGCATGCTATTAAAAAGGTCTCAAACCAAATTTAGTATAATTACCGATATGTTTACAAATGACTTACTTACATATATACAAACACACACATAACATTGTTTGTACGCGTGGCGATGCAATAAAATATATAATATTATACAGGACGAATTTTTTTATCGRCAATAGGCCAATATCCCGGGAAATGAAATGAGTTTGAAAAAAAAATACCGAACATTAATAAAATATGACAATCATAGAAATATATAAAACAGTAGGTATATACTTATACTTGCCGTGATATTATAATATTATCGTCTATTTTACTATAAAAGAAAAAGTGCCCATGTATATTAAATTATATTAAATTATGTTATTGTTATGTATGTACACTATAGCTGCGGGCAAAGAGTTGAAACGGCCTTAAGACACGAGACGCGCTGCAACCATCGCAGACAATACTGAATACTTATAGTAACTATATATATTATAGGTACATCACGACTCACGAGTGCTTATATTATACCTACGATTATACGTACAGTGCGAGTCGAAGTAGGATATTATTATAATCGAGGATATACATAATTACGTTTTTTTTTTTAAATCGATAAAAATATAACTCGCGCGGATGGAAAATTCAAATATACCACGCATGCGCACACATGTGTAATGTGTACGAATAATAATGGCGATTTCCCAGAGGGTGCACCGGGTGCAGTATCCGGAAGTAAAAAAATCAAAGTCGTAGAGGCACAGCATACTCTCTCTCTCTCTCTCTCACACACACACACACACACACACACACATACATACCCCTAATGATATATACACGCCAATACACACATACCGTTTCCGGTCGCCAAGTCGATAGGTACTGATATATATATATATATTAGCGCGTTGCGGTGTAGGTATTGGTATATAATATATATACGCTGCTACATAAACTTATATATGTCCTATATAGGCAAATAATCTACGCGCGCGGTCGGTCAGTAATCGAGCACAACAAACGTATTACATAATCATATTATAATCGATCGGACGACATTAACGCGTTTTTTTATTATTATCGAGGTTTTTTTTTATCGAATAATACATAATATTATATTATATATATGTATATATTTATGTAGAATCGTGGGCGTTTCCTCAAACACACGCATACATACAGACAGGCGTATTAAAATAAAAACTCGTGTGTATATATATATATGCATATTATGTATATCATATATAGCATAGTCATATATATATTATATATATAGGTACGTATCGGCGGCRCATTATCTATTCAAGTCATGGGTTTAACGAACCACGACCGTGGTCCAGGCTGGCGTGCGCACACATACAGACACACTCACACATCATTCACAAGTAATATATACGCGGGCTCGCGAGTTTGTGTGTGTGTGTGTGTGTACACGCATATATTATCATGTTCTATGTACATACAGGTATATGCTATATAATTTATGTATAAAAATCAATACGAACGATCAATCCTCGACGACAATGCGACGACGACGACGTCGCGCGCGGTCCGGACAGACGTCGCCATTATATTCCATGCKTAGACCATTGCAATTATATAATAATTATATTACACAGGTATATTCGTTTTTGTAATATATTTTATAATTCGCTTTTGCTTTCCGTTCACTGGATTCCCTCAACGGCAGCGGCTGTGCCATTATTATAATATAATGTAAAATTGATAACATATAATTTATAATGTAGAGGTAAGGCAAGTAAAGTTAAGTAAGTAAAGTTTAGTAAATAAACAAAAGATACGCATATAAATAGTACTACGTGTTATATATATATTGTATATACATATTATATGCGCAAACTTATAAAATATATTACCTTTATCACTCGTTGAGAGGATACATAATTCCAACGAACTAGGAATGTAGGAATGTCTATATCTTGTTACACGCTATTCCTCTTTATGATACATCGTCAGAGTAAAAGATAATATTATTGGCAGCGATGCCTCGAGCGTGTCCGATACACACCCGGTAAAGACGCCCGCACATACGCATAATATGATATTATTATGTATAACAATTGCACTATGGTCTATGATGATAATAATGTTATTGATGTGGTAGTCTCGCGCTACTAAATCTTCATTAGCAGTTTTTCACAATGAATATCATCGTACGCGACCGACGTACTAATAAAGTAATAAACGATGAATATTACATAGTATATTAATATAAATATAAGTAATATACCACAGGTGTTTTTTTTTTTTGTTTTGAATCTAATAAAATTTAACTAGCTTGGATTGAAAATCTATATAGTAATATATAATAATAGTCATGTCGGCGGAAGCGACCACTAAAAAAAAAAAACTGCAATAAGATGTATAT